CTGGTGTCACCTCACCTTCATGGGTACATCCCATCCGTCACCAAACTGCTGCTAGCTCTCCCCCTAAATATTTCTGGAATTCCTGCCCCTCCCCCCGACACTGTCCTGGACCAAGCTCCCTCGCTCTCTCTCTCTCACCAGGGATATCGCTGGAACCTTCCACAAGGCTCTCCCAGCTTCTGCCCAGTGATCCTTTAACTAAAAGAGATCTAATCTTGTCCCTCCCCGGTGGCTCACAGCACTCCGGGGGTGCCATGTTACTCTTAGGCGAAAGCAGGGAGGTGTCAGGCAGGCTTGCATGTTAGAATTGCCTGGAGAGCTTTTAACAATGTTGTATCCCACCTTACACCGAGCCCCAGCTGAATCAGGCCTCTGGGCGTGGCGCCCCAAACATGGGGGCACCTCCTCCTGCCTTCCGTGCTCAGCTCCAGCCCCATCTTTCTCTGTGCAACCCCCCCGCCCCCTTCCTTCTCCTCCTCATCCCACACTCCCTGTGAGCCCTGCCGTCTGTCTCCCCCGCTAGAACTGCACACCAGGAGGGCACAGCGCGTATCTGCCTCGTCTCCTTGACAGAGACTCTCTCTTCGACTAAGCTCGGGCTTCTCCGAGCCCCCTTCTCAGCGAGGCCCCAACCCTGGCCCTTAAGGACAGCAGCCTCAGCACAAAGTCATGACACCCTGCCCTAAGAGACTTGAGCCCACTCTAGCGTGCTTCCTGACAGCTCTAGGCCCTATCCCTGTGCAGCCCAGCCTCCCTTCGCTTCCTGCCTGGGAAAGCTGAAGGCCGCCCTGGAAATGTGCGCCTTGTTCCCGCCAATACCTGAGGATAGGACCCCGGCTCTCAGTTTCTGGGGGAGGATAGGGGCCTGTTTCCATAAGCTCCCATTAGCAACCCCCACCTGCTTTTTGCCGATTTTCACTTCCCAGACTGCCCCAGCCCTGCTTGCTGGCCCTCCCCACGAGCCCCCGTCCCCACCCCAAATGCCCGGTCACCTCCACACAAGCAGAGCAGTGGAGCTCGGTTATACCTGCGGCTCTTTCTCCTACTGCAGTGGCTACTAAGATCTGTCTTTCTGGCCTTCACCTAGCCTTTGGCTCCACCGCTCTTGTGTATCCTCAGCTCCTTATTCTTGAGGGAAAGGCGGGCAGGACTTGAGCAGGCTGGTTCTGAGCCTTGCTGATGAGGGTCTGAGGCCCCAGGCGCAGCACTTGGCCGAGTCCGCTCAGGAGGGGGTGCCCCCGCCCCTAAGTGGCTCCCCTGGTGTATTGACTGCCTAGGGCTGTTAGAACAAATCCCCGCATGTTGGGCCGTGTCCTCTCCTCCTCTGTCCCTTGTAGGGACACTCATCATTGGATTTAGGGCCCATCTAAATCCAGGATGATCTCATCTCAAGACCCTCCACTTAGGAATATTCACAGAGACGCTTACTCCAAATCTGGTCACGTTCTGGGGTTCCAGGTGGACATATACTTTGGGGACCACCATTCCCCTCGCTATAGCTCGGGCTCAGTGGGCACCCAGCCCTCTTGCTGGTACTCACACTAGCATCACCCTGGGTGATAAGACAGATCTATGGGGGAGAGGGCCAGGCAGGGAAGATCTCGGGAGTATGGAAGGGCCTGAGATAAAGAATCTTAACTCCCCGACCCATGTTCCGGCAGACACATCCTCTGTCCAATCCTCCCCATGGGTGAGCACTTGGCTCAGAGTCAGGAGACCTGGGTTTGAAGCCTGGCCCTGCCCCTCCACTCACTTGCGATCTCTGGTGATCAGGTCCCCTATCCAGGCGAAGATAAGTCCCCCTGCTCCTTGCAGCCCTAGCTCCAGTACTGTGAGTGTGAACTATAGTACCTCCTGCTCATGTCTCAGAGAGCCTGGCATCCCCCACACATCCCTGCCTAAGGAGGGAGAGAAAGGGTGGCTGGGTGTGCCCGGGGATAGGGTATGCCTGAACTGGGCATGCAGTGTGATTTGGGAAGCCACTGAACTTCGCAGATGGTCATGTCCCCACCGTGGTTTATGCAAATCGCTTCTCCCTTCTCCTAGCTTCAGTTGAGTCCCCTTCAGACTGTGGAGGAGGACACAGGGTGACCAGGCCCAGAGCAGGATGCAGTAAAGCCAGATACCATGGGGAGTCCTCTGGTAACAAGGATGGGGGCTGTGAGCCTACTCAGCAAGGTTTCCCAGAAAGCCATAAATGGGGTGTGACGTCCACACCGGGACATCAGGGGACTCACCTGCCAAAGAGCCCGTGGAGCAGAGGGGACCCTGATGGAAACAAGAGATTCATTCCCAGGATACTTGCATAGACCCCAGAGCCATCTCTAGGGTGTGCAGAGAAAGCACACACACCTGTCCACTCTCTCCCCAACCCAGAGACATGTGACTTCCTGTGTGGGGTGATGTGCCCTCCCCATACTCAGGCCGGGGCTCAGAGTTGGGCCATCCACATTCTCCTGTCGGAAGATTCAAGTCGTGGAGCGTAGCCAGAATCAGGGCCAGCCCTGAATGGAATAATGAACCCATCACATGGGCTTAGCAACCAACACCAAAGACTCTGCCATGATGGTCCCCAAATAATATTTTCAACCATGGTTGTATTAGGGTTGTGGGTTTATAAGGGATATTCTTCTCTGCTTTCCAAACGTTTGCTAATGTGCTGATATTATCTTCATCATTAAAAAGCTAAACAATTGAAAAAATTATCCCCCAAGTTCCTTTTGTCAAGAGTACAACCAGGATAATTATCGTTCCAAAGAGGCTGCTCAGGGGACGATCCACCGGTTCACAGATGGGGACCCGCGAGCCCTGCCCCCCCGCCGCTACTGCCCCCCATTCCAATTCTGATCACCGGAAGGTTACACAGCGGCGGGGATTTCTGCACTTTCACCCAGAGTCATTCTCACCAACCTGCAATTGAACGCCCTGCCTTCAGTTTCTGCTGAGGATCAGTAGACACAAAGCAAACGTGTAGACTGTCTCTGCATTTTCCGTAAAACTGCTCTCACAGACACCATCTGCGGAGTTGTCCACATCTCTTGCAAAGATCCAACTGACAAACTCCTGTTAGAGTCATGGTCGTGGGGCGGAAAGGGAAAGGCTCTCTCGATCAACCCATAAGCCCCTGAAGAGCTCGACCACGTCTGTTTCGCTCACATTGTTTTTCACAGTGCCCAGTGCGGTACGGGGCATTGACTAACTGTTCAAGTATCGTTTGTAGAATGAGAGAAAAAAGGAACTCATTGACTTGCACAACTTAGAAGTCCAAAGGTGTGTCTTGCATCAAGTACAGCTGGATGCCAGAGTCCCGATAATAGCATCAGGAGTCTAACCTCCCACCCTTGGCTCTGCTTTCTTGTGTTATTTGCCTTCCTTCTTGGGCAGGCTGATTCCCTGTGACAGCCAAGAAGGCCACAAGATTGTCCAAAGTTACTCCCACATACCAGCTTGTCATCCCATAGAAAGAGAGGACTTCATTCCCCAAAGTCCTAGGGAGGACTCCGGTCAGCTGGCATGGGCCGCATGCCCATCCCGGAACCAACCGGGGTGGCCCAGGGAATGAGGTCCTCTCATCGGCCAGGTCTGGGTCATGTCCTACCCCTGAAGCAAGGGGGAGGAGCCAGCTGCATCCCACTCTGGGACACCGAGCCTCTTCTGCCCAGCAAGGACAAGCTCAGGTACTAGAAGAGGATGTGGAGGGAAGCATGCGGAACCAAGGCTGCCCCAGTCTCTTTAAGGCCCCAACCTGGACTCCAGATTTTGCCGCCTCTATCCTGCACTTCCCCATCCTGATAAATGGTACAACCCCCAAATATTCTGTTCCTAGAGCCAGAACATTGCCGGTTGATTATTCTTTGTTCTTTTCTTTTCCCTGCCCTTGTGAGCTCATGGCATGTGAGCCACATAGGCCCACTTGGGGCATTATGGCCACATAGGCCCAGCCACCCAGCAGTCCGGTCTTAGCCCAGCAGCTGCTTGACCCCCAGGCCCCTCACAATGTCTCTGAAAACCGGGCGCCTGGGTGCCTCAGCTGGTTAAGCGACTGCCTTGGGCTCAGGTCATGGTCCCGGAGTCCCGGGATCGAGTCCCGTATCGGGCTCCCTGCTCGGCGGGGAGCCTGCTTCTCCCTCTGACCCTGCCCCCTCTCATGTACTCTCTCTCTCTCATTCTCACTCTCTCAAATAAATAAATCTTTAAAAAAAAAACAAAACAAAAAACAATGTCTCTGAAAACCAAGGAGTGGAGAAGTCATTATGCCCCATTTCATGGATAAATCCACCGAGGTCAGGCTGGGCTAATGATACCTCTCCTCAGGCCACGCAGGAAGCTGGTGGCAGAGTCCAGGCCTCCTGAGACTTAGTTGAGAAATACACCCCCTGCCGCACCCCACCTTGGCCTGTGGCCCCATCCACAACTGACCACATGCACCAAAAGGCATGGCCCTTTTATCCAACGGGCTTCCCCAGCCAGCCATGACCCAAGGTCTCCGGCTTGGGAGCCCTGGGCTCCCACAGTGCGGGCAGGAGGAGGCAAGGCTCCCGTGTGGACCCGCGGCCATGCTGGGGTAGCACTGAGAACATCTTTCCTTGGGAGCTCCTGGGCTTGGGTTCCAAGGCTAGCCATCACCATGACCAGCTGCTGGACACCCAGGCAGCTGCCAGATGTGTCTGCACTCAGGCTAAACTCTCGGTAAAGCAGGACCCTCCATGGTTGAGGCTCAGAAGGCCTCCAGACAGGGCCAGTTACTACTGGGGACAAACATAACCTTTGCTCATGGGCTCCTTGGTTTGGGGGCATTTTAGTCTCTGATACAGAAGAAAGGATGTGCTTTGATTCAGAGAATCCAACTCAGCTCGCATCACCTGCACCCCGCGAGGTGTCTGGCAGGTGCAAGGTGCAACTCCGGGCACTGCCGTCCTCTCCATTCCTGTGCCACGGTGCCTGCAGGAGCTGTGCATCCTGGCCTGACGTTCTCATTTACGCTATCCCCTTCTTCCTACCTTGCAGCTCCGTGGTAGCCTTGTCATCTGGGCCACTTGGGTCCTCCAGGAAGTGGATGCGGAGATGCAGTGAGGGGTGCAACAGGTTTTTTGGGGGCAATGTCTGTGGGAGAAAATAGGGGAGGAAGTGATTGGGCAGGGAGAGCCTCAGATCCCAGTGGAGATGTGATAAGATCTCGGCCAACCTAGCAGTGAGCTCTGCAGCAAAAGCTGCCCACTAGAGGAGTCCCGCATGGACCCAGATGGCCTGGTCCTAGTGCCCCTGCCAAGGGATGCCCAGGAAGAGCCTGGCTGTGGCTTGCAAGCTCTTTGCAGCTCCATGGCAATTCCCGAAGGGGACTGGAGGCCCTCCCTGGCAGCCGCGTGACCATTTCACAGATGCAGACGCCAGAGCCGAGAGAAGTCAGTGACTCCTAGAGGCATGTGGCTGGCCAGAGTGGGGCAGCCTGGCCCAAACCCTGCCCTCGTCAAGCGTGGGCAGTGCCTGGCTCTTGGCTGCCGAGATGCCATTTTCCACCACTGGTCAGGACTCCGGGACACGTTCCCCTCCCGTTCTCCAAGAGGAACAACCACTTGCAATCCATGCAGCCCACCAAGACAATGGCCTGCCAGAGGACCCAGGTCCCTGCTAGACCTTGGCCAAAGCTCCTGTCCCTGGGAAATGTGAGTGGGAACAACAGGCAGTGATTCGGTCCTCACGAACATCACGAAAGTCTTGCTGTGTAATGAGAAGCCCCTTGGATGTGGTGGCTCTGGTTCTAACAGAGATCCATCAGAAAGCTGTAGCGCTCCCCCATTCTTTCCAGGGCCACTGGGGTCCATCTGCCTGTCTGCACAGAGGTGCCTCCTCATTGCTACCTGCCCCCGGGCCTGGGACAAAACACGACAGGCGATCCGATGGCTGCTTGTCCACTCTGCCTCATTGTCAGCTCCATGATTGTCCAGAAACGCTTCCCGTCTGGGTTTTAAGAGCTGGGTTTTTAAGATTTCCCCCCTCCCCCCCGCCCCAGCCCCGCTGCCATGGCTTTCCCAGCACTCCCCGTGATGGCAGACTGGTATTGTGGGCCTCAGGCCTGGCTGCACATTTGAAAATTATGATGCCAGGATCCCACCCCTGAAATTGGTCTGGAGTGGGACCTAGACCCTGAAATTTATGAAGCCCTCCAGCGTGCAGCCGGGACAATCGCTCAGAGCCCCCCGTTCAATGAAGGCCGTGTGCTTGGGGTTTAATCTCTGTGGCCACCATCTTGAAATTCTTAATAACTTTTATCCTTGAACTTGTGCTTTGTAGGTGAAGTCCAAAGTGGCAATGGAACGTGTCCTGAGGGCTTGGAGTGCCCCCTTTCTACCCCCTCCCCACAGCCCAGGATGGGTTTCCAGATGCTTACTCCCCGCCTCAACCCCACAACTACTGACTGAGGGGCTGACTCCCTGGGCGCCCGAGCACAGGCAACAGGAGGTCAGGGTTGGGCACTGAGCTGCAGGATAGGGACCTGGGGGCCCATGAGGATCTGCATTCAGCCCACAAGTACCCCCACACCCAAGGGAGAGAGGCATTAAATAGCAAAAAAATAAAAACAAAAACTCCCACCAAGACAGGTAAAGAAGGGAAGAAAGGAGAAAGTTTTCCCTGCTCTTTGAGCCAGAGGCCCTGTGTTTTCTTCCTCCCTCCCTCCCTGCTTCCCTTGCTCCCTTCCTTCCTTATTTCCTCCCTCCCTCCCTTCCTCTCTCTTAGCCCTGGGCCCTGCAATGATGTAGCCCTGCCTCCAAGGCTCGTTGATGGTGCTGGCGCTCACCCTCTGAACTCACATCCTGGGCTATACCTACTGACAGTGCCGTGGCCCCTTCCCAGGGGGACTTTCTCTGGGAGAAGGGGGGGCATTTGCACACAGCTGCAGGAAAGTCTAACAGGGGGCACAGGGAGGACCATCGCTCTTCTCGCCCCCACCTCCCCCCACCACTGTGAGCTCCAGTCTTCTGCCTCCCCGTCACTTCCCATCTTATCAGGCCCTGGCCTTCATTCTGCCCTCCCCCACCCCTCAGTGTCCCCTTTGCTTGGACTGCTCCTTCCAGCCCTTTCCTTGGCTGGCTCCTGGGGTCCTGCTCCTACTGCCCCCTTTCGGAGGGCCCCTCCTGAGCCCTGTTGCATTTCCTCCACAGCTCGTGACGATTTCTGAAATTCAATTTGGTTCTGTGTCTGCGGGCTCTCTGCCCGTCCACTCTCCCTCCTTACTTCCTGAGGGCAGGACTTTGTTTCTCTCACTGACATGTCCCCAAAACAGTAAGACACACAGCTAGAGCCCAGTAAACATTTGGTGAAGGCACAAGCGAGCAGAGGCCTAGCTTAGCATTTGGGCCACGAGTCTCGGTCTAAGGAATGACATGCAGGGTGCCAGGTCAAGACCCAGGTGGACAGACCCCGTCGGGCTGGCCCACGTGGGGTGCTGTATGGAATGGACCAGACTTGCTGCAAAATGCTCGTCTCGTGCCATCCTGTTGGCAAGGTGGCAGGGAACACCAGTGGCCCTGAGGGAGTGGATGACAAGGGAGGAGGTGAGGTGTTGGATACACTCAATTATTATCCCAAACCTTATCATTGCTCATAATCTGCCTGAGATAAATCACAGGCAGGTAATTATTATGTCAAGCCAGGTAGCAGAAAGAAGTTTTAAAATAGCAATCAAAGAGCTTCCTGGTTAATTCAAATCTACCCTGATTCCCTCCAGGGGGTAAAAGTGCTTTGGCTGTAGAATTGGCCAGGCGTAGAGAAATGCAATTGCTCAGTGCAAAATGGGGACTCCTGGACTTAATGTTGCTCTCTGTCAGGTTTCAGAATAGCACACCTGTCAGGAGTCCTAAATCAATGATCACCCACCCAGAGTAAATCATATTGCAGTGACGTTCTATTTTTTGGGTGTCAAACCCAAACTCCCCATCCTGCTTGCCCGACGGCACCTGCCTCTGCTCCAACCGGGCCTCAGGCCCCAAGCCTCTCCCTAGTCCTGCCTCGGGCCCTTGGCCCCTAGGTTTCCCACACCAGCATCCCCTCGCCCCTCCAAACATCTCCAAGGCTCAGCTCGAGCCACTTTGTCTCTGGGCATCCTGTATCCCGAGTCCTCCAGAGGCCCCTCCGTGGGATCTGTCTCAGGAGCTCCTACCTGCGGTCCCTACCCTCAGGGAACAGTGCTAGGTTACCTGTCCCTGTACTGGTCAGAACCCAGGGCTTTCCTAGAGCTGGGTCTGCCCATTCTCATTCACCTGAACAAAGCAGCCCCCTGGGGCCAGTTCCGCCCAGCAGCAGAAACCATTTTGGGTTAACCTAAGCCAGAACAGTGGGGTGGGCTTACTGGAAGGATGCTGGGCATGGGGAGGTCTCCTGGCGGGGGGGGCGGGGGGGCAGGGACAGAACACCCAACCCACTCTGGGCCAAGCAGACCTTGTCCAGGGCAGAGGCCAGGCTGGATTCAACCAATGTCTCTGGGCTCTGGGCTTTGGGCTCTGGTCAGCTCTGTTGGTGACAATCCTGGGTTCCACACGGTGGCCAGGTAGTTGCACCTGTCCAGGTGCGAGTCCACTAGCTCACGGTGGACACTGCTCCCACTTAACTCAGATAAAAGCCCAAGGGGTGAGTTCTAGGCGGTCTGTGTGGCCAGTGTCACATGCACACCCCAGAGCCAATCACTGCGGCCCAGGAGAGCAGGGATCTGATCGGTTCAGGCCGTGGGCCACATGCTGCCCCGTGCAGAGCAGAGCTCCACCCACAGTGTGCAGGCTGAGAACCTGGGAGAACTGGGGCCTTCCCGGGTGGGGAAGGGCTCTGAGGGCAGGGAGACGTCCTGCCGGCAGCTGCTGTCCCCATTGCGACCTTGGACACCTGAACTTTGTTTTCCCAATTAAAAATTACAGGGTTTTCCTTCTCGTAGGTGCTGCAATTCCAGGATGGTGATTTATCTGAGTAGACACCTGCCCCTGCAGTGCATCCTCCCCTGGCCTGGAGGCCTGGGAGAGCCAAAGGCCCTGCGGGGCAAGGGGATGGGTTGTCCATTTTCACCCTTGCCTTCGGGCGGGGCGGACTTTACCTCAGATTTGTAACTGGTCAGATCAAAATGCCATTCAGGAAGGGGTAGGGGACCGTCCCGAAGAAGGCCTTCAGATCCCCGGCCCCACCCAACAGCAGTGACTTCACGTGCATGCCTAAGCCGCTCACCCTCAGACTGAGACCCTCCAGATGAAGTTCAAGCCCATTCCTTTGGGCCTCCTTGTCCCACCCCCGTTTCCTCTCCTGTCCAGCCTCAAATCCTGCCCTGTCTGGACCCAGGACTTGGGGTCAGCGGTCCTTTCACACCTCTGGGCTGCCGTTCCCCCACCTGGCATGTTCTTCCAGCCCTGTCCAGCAGGTGATCCCTACCTGTCCCCCATCACAGAGCGAAGCTGGGGAGAGGCCACTCTCACCTTCGAGCCCAGCAGCTCTCCTGTCAGCCCCCAATTCCTAAACCACGTACACGGGCTGATCTCCCCATGCGTCATAGCCGAGTCTCCTCCCTGACCTCATCTAGTCTTCCTGGACCCCCTGTCGCCGCGCTGGTGTGGCAGGCAGTGGGTGATGGTTAACACATACTGGACGGAGAATCCAACAGCATCCCTGGGAGGTGGGACCACGTTTCTGCGGCTGGGACTCAGAGCCTGCCAGTCCTTGTTAGGAAATGTCCCGAAAGGGCTTTAAGTCAGGAAACAGTTTCTTCCCTGGGGTCAGTGCTGTGGCTCCCAGGGGTGAGGGGCCCTCAAGAGAAGGCACATGGGGAATTTGGGAGAAAGTTCAGGAAAATCTCCCTGGGAGCCCCCAGCACAAGGACCCCTCCATCCTGAGCAGGATGGATTGGCTGCCTCCACCCCCAGGCTGGCTCTGGAGGAGGAAAAGGAAGAGAGGGTCCCACCCCCTGGGAAACAGAAGAGGAGCATTGGTGCGGTTGTGGGCGGGGGGGGGCTGCCGTGAGTCTTGACAGGGGCACGCTGTCTGGGGGGCTCTTTGGGACCCATCTCTGGGGCCTCACTGAGCAGCCGGAGGTGACCACTCTCTCCACAAGTTTTAAACAAGGGTTCTTGGCCAATATAACAAGACTACAAATAAAGAAAAAGAAAAGCAGCAATCTTCCTAAAAGATTAGGAAGAAAGAGACAGTATTATCATTCCTGGCAGATAATATGTTTATGTTTACCTAGGAAATCCAAGGGAGTTAACTGCACAATGATTAGAGCCACCGAGAAAGCCTGGAAAAGTGGTCAGGTGGAAGATACACGGAGAAAAACCCACAGCTGCCGCCGTACCAGTGACTAGCTGATTGGAAAATGAAATGAAAAAGGGCCCCCTTCACAACACCAACAAAGCTACGTATTGTATAAACTTACACGTGCGGGACCCAGATGAAGAAAACGCTACATTAACAAGGACAATAGGACATGGCTGGTTTGAGGGAAATAGTTCTTTCGGGTGGGGAGACCCTGCTGGCGTGGAGATTCCAGCTCTCTCCAAGTTCATCTGTGTTTTTAGTGCATATCTGTTACAAATGAAAAATCCCCAAGCAAAGTCACTGGCGTTTGAGAGGAAAATGCACCAAGTTCCTCAGAAAGAACACAAGGGGCCAAGCTGGGGGCCATCGCTGTCCCCACACATCAGACGTGCTTCTGCCACACCCCAGCCCCGCAGGGACACTGAGGCCCGCTCTCCCCGCGCGGCTGCGTGTCACCGTGGGCACGGCGGGGGTGGGGGGTGGGGGGTGGGGGAGGGATAGGCTGGCTCTGCGACCTCGGGCCTGGGTGCTGTCCCCTGGCGGGTGGCCCCCTGTGGGTTCTGAATCTGCGATGGGAAGGTGAGAGCCTCCCGAGGGAAAGGGTGGTGGGCCCAGGGGAGGGGGCCCCCGGGCTGAGTCTGGACCAGTGAGGACGGCTGCGTGGTGATGTCTCCCTGGGCTCTCAGGGCTCTCAGCCCCTTGCAGACACGCAGGGGAGAAGGCAGGTAGGTCAGGGAATGGAGAACTATAAGGGCCTGGCCTCCGGCTGAGGAGTGGTGGCTCCACCTCTGTCCTGACCCTCTCCTGTGGCTTCCTGAGACTGGGAGGCAGAGTCTCGGACCCCCTTGGCCTGCCGCTCCTTTTGTTGTGTGACCCTGGACGTGACCACTGTGTCCCTGGCGTTCCTCAGTTTCCCCTTCTGTAACACGGGGGCGGGTGGCTGGATCTCAGGGACTGGTCTCTCCAACTGGGCTGCCTTTCTTGGCAGGTGGAAACTGCCCTCTGATAAAGGGGACCTGGGATGTCCAGCTGGCTGGGGAGAGGGCTGGGGGTGGGGGTGGTGCAGACCAGAGCCGAAAGCCCAGGACAGCGTAGGAGGGAGGTCCAGAGCCGGGTTCTTCCAGGGCCTGGAGATCTCAAGCCACTCACCCTTCTACAGAGGGACTGACAGACAAATGGGCTGTAGGGAGGGGGCATTGACCAGTGCGTGGGTCCGTGTCCTCAACCCCACATATGGCCTTCCTGCGAGCCTGGAGACTCCCTTTTCCCAGCATCCCTGGGACCTGGACAGCTCCCCCCAGCCTGCTGCTTCCATGCTGGAATTGGGGACACTTTGCTGCAGGATTCATGATGGGGCTGGGTCAGAGCTGTGACTTTTTCTGCCTTACAACCGAGGTTACTCTCAGATTCATGGGAGCCATAAACCCGCGCCCTATTTCTGCTCTAATTGAGGCTATTTGTATTGTGACTAAAATAATCAGAGACAATTTTATTGGTATATTTTAAAAAATAATTACATCCCATACATTTAAGTTATGTAACCGCAGTGACAATCTGATCAGGGACCCCAGGGCCCCAGCTTGGAGGGCCTGTGCTAGAGGAGCCCCGTCCCAGCCCCAGCACCCTGCACCGCCCCAGAATCGAGAGCAGAGGTGACGCTGACAGAAATGCGTCCCCAGGGCCCGAGGCACAAGTCAGGGGCCCTCCAGAAGGCAGGAAAGCTTGGAGGGCAAGCATGCCAGCCCAGGGAGCCTGGAGCACTGCAGGGAAGCAGAAAGAGGGGTTCTCTGGGTCCTGCCCAGACCTTGGCCCAAATCTGGTCTTTGTGGTGGACATCTGTGCTTTGCCACTCAGCAAGGAGTCATCTGCCTACTGGTCACCCCATTCCTCTCTGGGGACCCTCCAGTCTTTGTCCTCCAGCTGCTGCAGCTGCTGGCTTTCCCACCAGCTCTGAGATGGGCCAATCAGAGCATTCCCCAACCATGGTGACAGGTTCAGGGTTAACTCAGCCTGTTACCCACTCGGGAACCTGGGGCCAGGGCTAGCCCCGGATTTTTCCCAGCACATCCCATTTGGGGTTAAGTCTGTTTGAGCTGGGCTTTGGTCCCCGTGATCAAAATAGTTGTAACTGATGTGACTTCCACAAGGGAGAGAACAATAGCTCCTGCCTGGTGGGTTTGGATGAGGACCAAGATGCAGGGAGATGAGTCACGAGCAGCACCAAGCATAGCCCCCACCCCCCCAGCCCTATAAACAGGGACTGTGGCTGTTGTCAGGGGCGTCAGGGAGCACAGATACTTGTCACCAGCACAAGGAGACGGGGAGAGGCTTAGAGGGCACATTGCAGCCCAGGAAGGGCCTGGGTCTTTTTGGGAGACTCTGGTCCCCATGTTTGAGGAAGGCAGGAATGGTTTTTCTGCGGGCTTGGCTGTGCACCCCTTGTCTTCTCCGTCAGGGCCCTCCTGCGTGGGCCTGACACGGTGGATGGTGCTCAGCCCAAGGCCCTGGGTCACGGGAGGCCCTCAGCTAGGTTCCTTCTTCCTTTTCCTCGTTGGCATCTCTCGGCTCTCAGCAGAGCTGACTGCTGGGGCTGTGAAAACCTTGGGGCCAGCATTTGGAGCTGAGCAAGGTCTGGCCCGTGTGCCCACCAGCCTCACTATGCCCCCAGCAGCAATCGAAACTCCCAGCTGCTGGGAGCAGGTTCTCTCTCCCACAGCATCCGCAACACCCCCCCCCCAGCCCCAGGACGCCACATTTGTCAAAACTGCTAACAGATGGTGGGAGCCTTGCCACCCTGCCTGCCCAAAGCAGCCTTCTCTCTGCTGGGCTCAGACCATCTTGGTCTTAAACAGCAGGGAGAAAGCCCACCGTCTACCTGGTGGGGGCAACACCTTCTACCCCAGGGCATCTCCGGTGGGTCCACGGCTTGGGAAAGCGTCAAGAGAAGTACCGGGGCTGGAATACCCGTTGGGACTCCCAGCCCCCCTGACTGCTGGTGTAGGGCAGACACTCACCCTTGCACACCCACGCACACTCACATGTCCCAAAGTTCTTGCTTTCTTCCAGAGCAGAGAAAGTCCAGCAGGTGGCCTTCTATGGAGCTCCACAGCACCCACACACCCCGGGCTCTGTGTGAGGTGAGCCCGGGAGACCGCCTGCTTCTGGGCACCCGTGTCCTCCCCAGTCCTCAGGGTCCCCAGCCTGACAGGTAGGTTGTAGCTCACATCCTCGGTCCTTGTGAGTGTTGGCGCCACCAGAGATCCCGGATTTCATTCTTTCCTGTTGTCAGCCCTTATGTGCCACAGATGGCTTTGAAAATCTAGCTGCCCTCCTGGGCCCAAGTGTGAAGTGCAGAGGACATGAGGCTCACAAAATCCCCACAGCCACAGGGAGACACGCAGACGCAGGGCACCTTTGGCACAGCTAGCCCCTGGGGTTCAGTGCGTGTGTGTGTGTGTGTGTGAGAGAGAGAGAGTGAGTGTGTGTGTGAGTGAAGGAGACACCCTCATCTCTGGCTCTGGGTTATAGGCCTCCCCTTCCCGGGGTCCTAGAGGGCACAGTCTGACAGCGAGCCCACCCCTTTCTCCCCCAGCAATGGCAGACCCTTTCCCCCAGTGGTGGTCTCAGGGATTCCCTCCCACCACCTCTGATCCCCAGCGCCACAAAGCCATCATCCAGACACATGGACTCCTGGACAACTCCCCAAAACCATCTGCACACCCAGGACAGGCAGTGCCCACCTCAAGACACAGCGTAGGCCCCTCCCCCTCGGATGTCACTGTGCACGCAAGACATGAGTCTACCTGATCTTAGACACCCACGGTGGGCACCTGCCAGTCCATTCCCAGAGGCCCTCCCCTCTCCACTCCAGTGTCGATGAGCCGGGCCCCTCCGGCGCAGCCCCACGGAGGGGGGGCCCCTGTGTCTCCTGCCCATCACCTAGCCAGCCTGGTCTGCTCAGCTCCTCCTGACTCAGCTTCGTGGGAATCAAGAAAGACAAGAGTTCCCTGGGGGCCCCGACAAGCCAAGAAGCCTTCATGGAGGAAACCCTCCTCATCCCTGGGCCCTCAGACCAGTGGGTGGCCTGGGTCGGGATGGTCAGCCGGGACCTGAGGGTGTGCAGCCTCGGGCAGTGGACAGGGGGCTGGGCCTGCTGGAATGGGGAACCCAGAGTTCCTGCCTTCGGGACCCACTGTGGGCCCCTCGGGGGGCTCTGGGAGACACCAACTGTGTTCCCTGC